TTGCAGTTTCACTGCGCATTCCTCCGGACTCCCTTGCCTGATCATGATCTCCACAGTTGCTCGCGTCTTCGGCATCCACTTCGTCCCTCCTCCTTCCGCCGTCATTAGCAGTAGTCCCTCTGCCACCTGCCGCTCCGGCCTGTCCAGCTGTAGCTGCTCTGCCAGTCGCCTTCCTATCAGCACCGGATGAGCTCCTGTGTCGATGATGGCCTGCTTCACCGGTAGCCCCCCCACAGTGATGTACCCCTTTTCTGCAACTAGCACGGATGCTGCGCAGCTGAGCCGTTCCAGTGGATGTCGCCGCGGCGCGGCTCCCCTTCTGTCTTCTCCCGCTGGCCGCCTTGGCCCGTACTCCTGCTGACCCTCTGTCCTTTGTCTGAGGTACCTCTCCCTTGGCCTTAATCCGAGCTCATCCCTCTCCCTTGCCGGTCTCGCCATCAAGCAGAATTCCTCCTCACTACCTTCTTCCTCTTCCTCCTGCCTCGCCACCATGGCTGGCCTCCTCTCAGAGCCCTTTTCCCGATCTTCCAGCTGAGCTCTCAGGCGCTCTATCTCCGCCCGCATTTCCGCCATTTCCCCCTTTTCTCTGGGTTCTCCTCGTCGCGCATAGCAGTCTCTTTCCGCGTGCCCCTTCCTTCCACATTTCTCGCACGTGGGCGCTTCAGGACAGTCTCTCCGCAAGTGACCCTCCTTGCCGCATACAGAGCATGCTGGTGGGTTGCGGCAGTCCCGCCGCAGATGCCCGCCTCGTCCGTAGTTGTGGCACTTTCGTGCGTCAGTCGGCCCTCTCGGCGGCCGCTCGTGCTCCACTGGGCTGGCGCTCCAGGCTGGCCGCCTCCTTTCCGCCGATCGTTCCTCGATGCGTTCCGCCTCAAACAACCTCCGACCCGTTTCGACCCTTTTTGCTGTCTCGTATGCAACCTTCAACGTCGCCGCCGCCCCCAATTAAAAGATCTTCACCTGCACATCTCTTTGCAGCTCATAATTCAGCCCGTTCAGGAATTTACTGACGAGCCGACCCTGATCTGTGCAATTCATGTCCTCTCCCAGCTCCATCAGCCGCCCGTAATATGCCAACAAGGATTCACCCGTCCTTCGCTTGAAGGCACGAAACTCGATGACTCGCTCCGGCGTCTGCAGTGGGAATTGCTCACGCAGCATCTCCAGAAATCGCTTCGTTGGGTCCCTTTCTCCTGGTCCTCCTTGCGCGGCCCAATCCAGCAGTTCGCGTCGGCAGATCCGGTAGTAGGTTTCCGCCTCCCCGGTCAGCGTGTTCGCCAATCCTCTGAAAAACTCCTCTGGTGCCAGCTGGTCCCGCTCCCACCGCGCTCTTAGGTTCTCCAACTGCATCAAGTAATTCTTCAGCGAAGGCCCTCGCCGGACTTCTCCTGAAAATCGCTCTGGCACCTCCACTTTCGGGAGCATGGTGTAACGCCAGCGTGACGTGGCCGCCTCTTCCTCGAACCCCTGCCAGGACGCGCTACGTCGGTATTGCCGCTCACCACTCGTCCTTCCTCCAGCAGTCGCTCCCTCCTTCTCCGAAACGGGCTTTCCCGCCACGCCTTCTGCGGCTGCTTCGCCTGTCCCGCGCGACACTTCGCGGGCGCCGTCAGAGCCCACGGCTCTCTCTGGCTTACTGTGCTCTCCTCCTTCCGCGCCGTGCGCACCGGTAGCTCCGTGAGCCGCTGCTCCATTCTTCCCATCGCCTTCCATCGTCGCACCTCCCGTTATCGGTTCCTTTACGGCGAAGTCTAGTCCCGATCTCGTGGGCATACCCTCTCCTAAGATTGCTTGTATGTGATGAGCTCTGAGCTCCGTCACATACTTCTTACTACTATCCTCAAACTACGGCTCTATGCTTGCCATATCTCCCTCTTTTCACTACTTGCTCGGTCTACAGCAAAGAATTCGTGTAACAAGAGAAACATACAAGCAATGGATTGACGGTTCAGGAATCCTCCTATTCTACCAGCAACGCCACCACCATGCTACGGTCCCGTCATCCTTGCCTGTCCTAGCAGCCATGAGCTGCTTCACACAGGCTTACAGCCGTAATGCCTCTTGCCATCCTTCCTTGCCCTGTCTCCTCGTCCTCCAGCTGTTACTTCCTGATCCAGCTGGCTTCCCGAACCTATCCTGCACACATAGCGAAAACAAACAAGCATGCACACGTACACCCATCCCTCCCATCCTGTGCTGCTGCTTCCTGCTGCCGCTGCCATGTGTGCCTCTGCCTTTGCAGCCCACCCCACTCCGCTTACGTAAGTTCTAGCTCCTTGCTCATCCATGCAACCCTCCGACCCTCTGGTTCGGCAAGCGTCGGCTCCCCCAGCTTCCCATCCGCTTGTGAAACGTCGTATGTCTCCTCGGCTTCCGTACTCGTTGGACTCCACTCCGCTATGTACAGTATCTACAGTATATACAAACCCCTTTTCCTCATTACCTTACCCTTCACATTCATGCAAATGTGACATTGTTCCACATTATATCGAGTATCCAATGTTCACTCTGCCTAACTGTGTGATTATGGAGAAGACAACTATAAAGAGATTTCCGTTTTGACATAATAAAGCGATCCGACAGACACCCACCCGCAGCAATCTGGCTAGGGTGCGTTTCTATCCCGTGTCAGACATAAGTTTGACACGAAGTGGAGGTTCGGAAGACCCGAAGTGGCTCGTTTTGGGGGCGATTGGAAGTTCGGAAGAGACAAATTGGAGACTAAGGCCGCATGACTTGATGTGTGACACGGGATAGAAACGCGCCCTCAGTCGGGTGGAAAAGGAAATCTTGATGGCTCGGCCTTCTGCACTTCATCGCCTGCTTTTTCGTAGTCTAGTCCAGAAAGGCCGAAAACGTAGTTTGACAGGTGAGAGTGGTTAGGGGAGTGGTTAGTTTCATCACTTTTTGCCAAATCAGCGTACACTTAGTAAACTGTTGAGTTCGCTGCCAATACTTATCATTGACTTCCTGTCACCTCTTGAGACAAGATTTCCGTCCTTATACTGTATTCTTCCCGAACACCCCAGCGGAATTCGGTCGACAGAACGGATTTGCCAGTGTCGTCGAGGGGGGTCGTCGGAGCGAGGCCTGACGAGGCGGGCGACTGACGCGCGTGCGGGCCCACCAGCCTGGCCCAGGGCTGGGCCGAGCGCACGACCGCCGCCCCGCAGCCCTGCTCCGAAACTGAACAGCGACCCACGTTACCGGGTGGGGTCGGCGAACTGGCGACCCCTCGCGCGAGGGAAAGTAGCCCTCGCGCGAAGGCAGCCCAACCGTGTCACCTGCCCGCGACGTCCTAGTAACCCATCGCGGCCTGCTCGGACGGGCAGGCGAGGGCCTGGCGAAAATTCGGGCCCCCCCTCGGGACACTCGACAACTTCGCGACCCGATGCGGTGACGACACGTGTTCGCCCGCCGTTTCGCATCGGGCGCATGCGGAATTTCGGACGTAGCGAAATCGATTTCAATCGCTTCGCGGCGCATGCGAAATTGCGTCCCATGGCCGACCGAGGCCAGGGGGCGTGATATCGACTTGCTGGCTCGGCGGCGAACGAGAAATTGTGCCACTTGTGCACGAGCCCGCCAAACCCTGCCGAGCCAGGCACCACGAGCCCTGGGCAATGCCTCAACCTCCCTGTGGGGCACCACCGACTCCCTTTTCTTTGTGGAAGGAGGCATCGCTCCTCATTTTCGTCTTTTCGTTTCTCGTTTTACAAGATTGCCCATCTCTGCACCTTACTCCCACAGTCTCCTCCCTTAGCCCGTAGTCACCTCCCCACCCCGCCATGGCGGCCGAAGCGGCGCCGACTTCGCAGGACTTTCCGCTGTGTCTCGACCTGGGTAGTGGGCTCACTTCCAAACTTTTTGAACACGACTTCGCCGTCCTCGCAGACCATAGGCTAGAATTCACCGCACGTTGCTTGGGATTCGGCCTCAAGTGAGTCTCCGTATAGGGTGGATGTCGGTGTCGTCCTATCCGTCTTAGGTCACCCTTGCTTGTAATACCTAGATGGTCGACGCAGCGTAGACACCGACTTAAGGTGCCAGTGATATCTCGATCTTGATCCTCGTTTACACCGACACGTCGGTGTCGGCACCTGGTTGTGCCCGCATCGCTAGTCTAGATTGACTACCACGGCGTTAGGGGGGTTCACCGTCATTTTATCGCCGTTGGCTGTTCCTTTTACCCCCCAACTCACCCTTGATACCCATGTGTGCGTGCAGGCGATCATGGAATATCGCGACGTTGGGCAAGATGCGATTGTGGTCGACAGGAATCGGCCGGCTTCGGGCGGCGATGGGTCGGGACGACCACACATGCTTCGCGACGGTTTTCGACGCCGACGTAGCGGTTATCCCACTGCACTCCGGGTGAGCTTGTTTAACGAGTCGTAATGCGGTGCCACGCATGTAGGTTAGTTGTTCTGATCGACGTCGTCGTGCCTTGCCTGTGCAGCATCGCGCCGCTTCCAGGATCTCATTGCAGCGTCGTTGTCATCATATACCCCGGCGATTTGTTGAAGGCCGGGGGGGGAGAAGATCAGGACCTCGATCCGACACGTCGACCCGCATACAGCGAAGATGTGGCACCGCGACGAGGCGATCCGCGTGATGAAGTAAGCTCGATAGAGTAGTCGACGACGCCGGCCATTTCGTTTTCGTCACGCATTGCTTATCGACTATCTGTGCCATGTTTCTCCAGGTTTTTTTGGGCGGCGGTCCAGGCAGAGATGGGCCGCGATGGTAGGAAGTGGGAGTGGCCGAAGCCTGCCGACGAAGAGGTCATCGACAGGGAGTCCTTCAGTGTGTCCCTATTGCGCCATGCACTTGCCTAACGCGGAGCTCACCCGTTCTCTCTGCTTTGTTGTATGCAGAAAGTGCCCGACGTCGTCCGGGACGAGCACGCGGGCTCCGGCCTGCTAGCAATGAGCGGATTGTACTGGGTGGTGCGGAGGCTGGAACGTCTGACCGGCGACCTCCGTCGCAGTGAGACCAGCATGGACAAGGTCAACGTTACGGGGTTGAAGGCGCTGCGGAATGAGATGATAACGTTCGTCAAGGGGGAAGTCGACAGGAAACGGGCGGGCCATGTCGGTATTGCGGCCGACGACTGTGACGACGACGGCGACGATCCCCCTTCGGCATCCCAAGCTGTAGGTGTCGCCCACACCGTCGACGATGCGCGGGGGACTCCACAAGGAGAGCCAGGAGCCGACGTCGACAGGATGGATGAGGGGGCAGGAAGGGCGGTGACTGGAACCGCAGAGGAGCACCAGGACGACAACGGGGATCGGGAAGAGGCGGATGACGAGGGTCAGGAATATGAGGAAGAGGAAGAGGAGGAGGAGGAGGAGAAGGAAAAGGAGGAAGAGGAAAAGGAGGAGGAAGAGGAAGAGGAGGAGGACGACGACGACGACGAGGAGGAAGATGAGGAGGAGGCGGCGGTTGTCGGGGAGGCGGAGAAGCAGCAAGAGGGGGAGGAAGAGGAAGTGGTCGAGCTAGAGATAATTGAAGAGGTGGTGGAGTGCGACGACGGAGCGGAGAAACCGGGTGGGAGGACGGCGGATGTTGTGAACGGGGGTGTGGATGAGGCCAACGACGCCTGCGTGGGGGCGGCACCCGGGCGGAGCGAGAAGGTCGTGGTCGGCGATGTGGCTGGCGTCATGGCCGGTGTAGGCGGGGATACCGCAGCGGCAACGACGCGGACGGGAATGGATGGGCCTACCGAGGCCAAGGCGGTGGGGGAGTGGTCAAGGAAGAAGAAGGCGGCGCGTGGTCACCCCGGTCCCGCGGCGTCCAGTCGGCAGGCACCGGTGGACGTAGTCGAGCTGTTGCGAGCGGAGAACACGAGGTTGCGGGCCGACAACGCACGCCTGCAGGAGTCGCTCAATGACGAGACGAGACGGGTCGACATCTTGGCGAAGGCGGTAGCTGGACTCCTCGACAAGCTCACGGCGTTGACCGCACAGGTCCCCGCCACCGACCAGAAAGCGGCAAAACGTATCGAAGACGCCACTTCGGCCATGTCGACCACTATCGCCGACGAGATCACCGACAACATCGCGGACGCCATCGACGCTACGAAGTCGGTGTCGCGATTTGTGGTGGACTGGCTGAAGGAAATCAGTGGTCCCCAAGGAACGATGGCAGTCGAACGCGCAACAGCGGTAACCTGTGTTGTCGACCACCAGAATGCAGTGTGGAAAGGCCTGGAGGAGACCATCATCAGCTACATCGGCGCCGCACAAACCAACATTGCCGCCGCGGTTTCTCGCCCCATCGTCCTGCCGACGCCGCCACCTCCTCCTCCCGCCCCAACTCAAGCCATACCGGAAGAGTTCCTTCAGTCGTTCAAGGCCGACGTGCTGAAAGCGGTGACGGAGGTCACACAGCAGTCGTTTGTTGCGTCCGGGATGAAGGCATTAACCGAGATGATCAGCAATGCGGCGCCTGGTCGACGCGAGTCGTCGCCGTCGGCCAACGACGCTGGCCAGGCGCAACGACAGGATGCTCAGAAGCAGGGTCGGAAGAGGGGTGCCGGAGGCGGAGGGGGAGACGGGGGCGATTCAGCAAGTACTAAGCGGAGCAAGGGGGGAGATGGGAGCCGCGGCGTCGGCGCGGTGGGTCCTGGCGGCTCGCGGACTCAAGGTCAGAGCGTGGTCGACCAGCTCAAGAAAAAAGGGGCAGAGGTGATAAGGTTGCACCGCAAGGGCGATGGGATCTGCAGTGCAGATGGGGGCCCTGCCGACGAGGTTGCCGCTCCAAACGCTGTACCAACAGCCCCGCCCTTGGTCCCCGACCAGGAGACCCCCACACCTCACGCGGCGGGAGATGGCGGCGCCGGAGCCGTCAAGGGTCCGTCAGTTGGGGTGGCGGAGACGACGTCGACTCCCATTGACCCCCCTGGGGCCAGCAGGGCGCCGGTCGGCCAGTCGGCCGACAACAAAGTTGGGCCGGAGATTGCGCCGACTCCTGCTCCAGCAGTCCGGACTGCCGCCACGGGCGACGCGAAGGACGCTGCGGCTAACCGCGATGCTTCGGCCACCAGAAAGCCGGATGCGCTCAGGGAACTGCTCCACCGCATGGAGACCCATCGCAAGGACGTGCAGCAGCCTCCCTCGGTCGATGCCGCCCCTCTCGAAACAGAGCGTCCCTCGGTTGCTCCGCAAGTCGCCGCCGCTGCGTCCAACGCCCCACCTACCGCGCCTCAGGTCGCCGCCCGTCCTCCCGCGGACCCAAAGTCCGCATTGCTTCGCGCCCGGTTAGGCGCACGTAGTGCGGCTGCACCAACACGTACTCGGCCGGCAGCCGGCTCAGGCGCGAAGCAGACGTCGGCAGGCGTGGCTGATCCCACTCCCGGTGCAGCTGTTGTCGATGCGGCGGCGGAGAAGGGCGTGAGTGCAGCGCTAGCCACCGGTGGCGGAGGCGGTGACCCTGCACAGGCGGCGAAAGGCCACAACGACGCCGACCTCGCCGCCATCCATAACCTGTTGGAAGCGGTACATCGCCCCGGCCCTCCCCCGGCGCTGGCCATCTCAGACACGGCGCATGTGGGGACCGCGGCGTGTCCCCCTGGTGGTTCAGCGGTGCCAAAGACGTCCAGTGGGACTGTCGGCGACGGAAAGGCGAAGCGGAATGGGAAGGCCGACACAGGGACAGGGAGGGCGAGCTCGCAGAGGATCACACGGGCGAACTCAGCTGCGGAGCAGAATCAGGAAGAGAAGTCGGTCGGCGAGGGTACGTCGGCGAAGAAAGGGAAGGAGAAGGCCGCGGTCAGCGAGGGTAGGCCGGTGAAAAAGGGGAAGGAGAAGGAGAAGAAGAAGGAGTAGGCGGAGAAGGAGGCGGAGGAGAAGGAGAAGGGTCGGAAGGGTCATGGTATCCGCCAGGACAGCACGGGCGACGGGTTAGGGTGGGTGGGCGAGATTAAAGTGCTCAATCACAATCGGTACATCGGCAAGTCACGCGTCAAGATGGAGCTGGCGTACCTGCACTCGATCGCGTTCATGGTCTACGACGGTTACGTCAGCAAGGTCCTCATGGACGAACTCACCGGCTTGAAGGACGCCGAGATGGAGGAGTGGAGGAGGGTGTGGGAGGAGGTCAGGATCCTGCCGACAGGGATGTGGACGGTGATATGGGCACGGGGCGCGTACCTTCCACAAACACGGTAAGTCGGCGTCCCTTAGGTCGAGTGCTGTTGACGATGTCGTAGTCCCTAACGGTAGAACCGTTTCATGTGTTTGCGTGTCAGGTTCGATGACATCCTCGACAAGTATCGAGCGTACAAGAGCTCAGGCGATGCGCACCACGACGCGCTCTTGCCGGCGATCTGGTTCCCCGTCGATGCCGACACGAAGGAAGGCCAAGAGAAGGCGGATGCTGCGATGTCGGCCCTGATTAGTCGCGTGTCCATGTGCGCGGCGTATGGGAAGGTCGCTGCGAGCGTCGTGGAGAAGACGGAGCTGGTGGCACAGGCATGGGCGGCATCGGCTTCCGCCTTGTGGTGCTTAGTCGAGAACGATGACGCCTCCGTGGACGATGCTGTGAGAGAGGGGAAGGCGGCGGCGATGGTGGTCGGTGCGAGCGAGACGGGCAGACGTCTTCAAAAAAGTCATGAAGGCGGTGATTCAGGCCGAGATCGAGAGGGAGCACCCCCTCGGGGAGGTCAGGCACAACGTCGCGCCGGCGCTGCAGAGTGCCGCTCTGCAAAAGCTCTATCCGGGGAGGGATGCAGAAGTTGAAGCCGCCGTGGTCGCTAGAGCGATGGTGGAGACCATGGCGTTTTGGGGAATGTGCCCCGTCGCCGGGCCGAAACTCGAGGAGGTCGGCATCGCTGTGCCTTGTGACGCGCAGATGGAGCATGATTTTAAAGAGAGGGGAAAGAAGGGGCAGAGGGGCAAGTAGGGCAAGGACAGCACGGAGAAGATGAAGGGGAAGAAGGGCAAGGGCAAGGACAACACGGATGCGTAGTCGGCGCGCGGAGGGAGCGCATTTGATTGCTAGGTTGTATTCTGGTTTAGGATTTTTAGCTACGGGAGTGCATGTAACTTTTTGGTAATGCATGTGACCTTTCGGGAGTGCTTGTGACTCTCTGGTAGTGTAAGTGAATTTTTGGTTGTGCAGTCGGCGTTGTCGACCTTGGCGATGAACCATGTCGTCGTTGTATGAAATTATAGGCGGGTAGTTCGATGGTCGGTGTTGTTTATCAGCAGTAAGTTTCGAATTCGTCGGTGCCGGGGGGCTTTATGCACCGCCGTCGACCACAATGCGTAGTCGGCACACGGAGGGAGCGCTTGGTGGTATGCTTGCTAGGTGGTAACTATTTGTACGTGCAGTCGGCGATGTCGACCTGAATGAGACACAATGAATTGCACACGCATGCTACTCGTCGATGTACCATGTCGGCGCTTATGTCGGATGTAAGGCCGCATCTACAATTGTTGGATCATGTATGTTCGTGTTCTTTCACCATGAACAACCTGAACGATAACAGGAATAAGGTTCGATATAGTCGACCACAATGAGGGCATCATCAACCTACGCTAACACATTCATGCCGACTTCTTGCGCTTTGTCGGAGGACGCTGCGCAGGTGCGGTCTGCTTGGCCAAGTCGGCCACGGTCTTCGGCATCTGCACCTCCCAGATGTCCGGAAACAGGCGGTCGACCCACGTCCTCGGCTTCAGCTCGAGCGCCACCAGCGCACAGGCGAGGCGTAGCTTCGAGACCACCTTGGGGGCAAGCCCCTTGACGCCCATGCCAGGCTCCTTGGACATCGTCGGTGCCGTCTCCGGGTTGAGCACCGTGAGGGCATCGCAGAAGGTCCCAATGCCCGGTGCCGCGATCGTGTTCAGTGCATCGACCACGGCTTCGGTGTCGGCATCGCCGTCGCTCGCGCGTAGCTGGCGCACCGCATCCATGGCCTTCAACATGCGGCGCACCCGCATGTTGAGTGCACCCTGCGTCGCGCCTTTGAGGAGGGTGTGGCGGTCGATGAACCCCGGCTCGGTGACCCTGTCGCAAAGACGACGGGTGTCATTGGCGGTGGCAGAGTTCCAGAGGCGCCAAGCGTCCCGCACGGTCTTTGCCTCCCGCCAAGGTTGCACCACGTTGAGCTCGTAACTGGCCTCCTCTGCCGCCTGGGGGGGTGGCGGGGGTTTCCCATCATCTCTCTTGGCTCCGGTCCCCGTGTTGGCCGAATCCGCGGAGCCACCCTCTCTCGGAGCTTGTTCGGTCGCCGACGGCGGCGCCGCCTGCATCCTCCGGGCTTCCGACACACGGAGTGCCTCGGTGACTCGAGCAAGCTCGGCGGTGAGCGACGCGATGGTGTCGTTTTGCATCTCGATCGTCTCCTGAAGGCCTAGCTTCTCGAGCGCCGAGCGCTCGACCTCCTTCTTCAGCGCCTCCTTGAGGGACATGTTGTGATACTGGGTGTCCATGCGGACGGAGATTTCCTGCAATGTTGAGTGTGCGGAAAGGCGACAAGAGGTTAGAATTCACCGGTATTCGAACGACGCCGACATGGTCGGCAACTCACCTCCGGCTGAATCTGTGTCGGGTCCCGGAGCTTTTTGATCGTATCGGTGTCGACCGACTCGACCCTTTTCGCCCAGTGCTGGAAGAGGGCAATCCTGCAGAGCTTGGAACCTTGGACGTACGGGTGCCACGGTGTGCGGACGAGCTTCACCGCGAGGTCCTCGGCGACGATGCGTCGGAACATCACGAGGGTGCGCAAGAAGTGCACTGCGGCTTTGTCGGCGTCGCTCCCGTTGACGGCACGCGTCTCCGCCTGCAAGTCGGAAGGTGGTGTGGGTTAGTAGGGAGTTGGGCAGCCAACTAGGCCACGACGACTGAAGAACATTGTCGGCGTCGCGTGACATACATCGCGCTGCATAGCATCCACGCCGGGGAAGATGTGCTCGGCGAGGAGGTCTAGGAGTTTGTCGGAGGGCTCGACCCTGCTGCGCCCCAAGAAGTAGTCTTGCTTGAGTCCCGAGTAGCCGGCCTTCCGCATCACCACCCCAACGGGAATGGCCATGATGTACGCACGCGTAATCTTGTCAAGAGCCCAGTGTCCCAGCTCGGCGATCTCGGCGCGCGGCGTCCCTCCGATGGCTAGCTCCTGCGCACCTCCGGCGCGGGCGGCGTGCACGTTCCTTTTGCAGAACACCTTGTTGGTCGTCCACATCTGCCGAGTCCAACGTTGGTGGGTGGCGGCGGGGAGCTCCTCCTGCTCCTTGTCGTTTTTGGCGAAGAAGAGATGCTTCTTGTACCAGCGTTCGCGTTCAGTGGTGTCAAGCGGCGGAAGGAAGTCGGTGCCGGAGAACTGACCGATCTGGTCGAGGATGAAGTGCAGCCACAGGCCGGTCTCGCCGACGGCGCACAGCTCCGCTTCAAGGTGTCGCGCCGCGTAGCTCTGCTGAAGACGGGCATCCTTGGAAGTCTTCGAGTTACGCGCGGCGATCACCATGACGACCGGCTGGCTATCCGGGTTCACCTCCGAGGTGCTCGCCAGGTGGTACAAGAAGACGTCGGGGAGCGTGATCTCGCGGATGCTGGCGCCGCGCAAGAGAGAGTGGTGGGAGAGTAGCGTGAGCACCTTGACGAGCAGGAATCGCCACAGCGTCTGCGACGGAGTGGTTGCCCGCGGGCTCCATGCCGCCGCCGCCCATGTCGGCAGCACCCTCATCATGATCTGGCGGAACTGCTCGGCGGTGTAGGTATCGCCGATGGTGCCGCGTCGACGGTCGGCGCAGTTCCTGAACGCAAATCGGCGGGGAAAATCTGTTAGACTGCGTCGACTTCACAGTGCACAGTGATGAAGAATAAGGTTGTCGACCAACTTACTTAATGTCCCTCTCGTTCTTGTGGCGGACGTTGAACCGCACCTCCGATCTGACCACCGAGATCTCCCTCATGATGCCCAGCTCCTTCTCTCGGTACAGCGTCGCCTCCACCCTCGCCGCCATCTGGCATGCCTTTATGCGCCCGAGGATCGTGTGCACAGTTGTCGACCTCACAGGCCCGGTTCACGTGGCATTGTTCTCCTCCCCGGGCTGGTCGTCAATGAGGTTACACTCACGGCTCATTTACTTCACGTAGGCGCGCAGCCGGGTTTCGGTGACCCTAGGGCCGTGCAGCCAGATGTACTGTCGGCGGACCACTTTCTCGTTGCACCAATCCTTTTTCTTGTTGTCGCGGATGTAGTGGCCGATCTCGTCGACGTGCCTAAGTCGTTGTTCATGGGGTAGCTTGTCGCGTATCTGTTTCAGCATCTTCGCCGCCCACTTCTTGTAGTGGTAGATGAACGCGGTGTACAGCCTGAGCGTGCTATCCTTCTCCAAGCATTGTAGGTGGCGTAGGGCGTCCATGACGAGCACGTCGATGCTGGAGTACACCATGTCGTCCACTACAAAGTCTGTCGCCTTCCAGTCTTCGCGCGGCACCGCCATGTTCTGATTTTCCTCCTTCTCGTCCTGTTCGAGCATGTCATGTATGTATTCAAATTCCCGCCTAAGGCGTTCTTCCAAGGTGCGCGGATTCGTGCTACGCGGAGGACGGTCGTCGACTTCGTCGTCGCTCTCTTCCTCGTCCTCGTCGTCGTCATCACCTTGGTTTTCCGAGCCGGCCGGCACCGTCGAAGGTCCAGGCTGCCCATCTGACGTCGGCGTCGACTTCTTAGTAAACTCCCCTATTGGCGGTTTCGGTATGTCCTTGGTGTACTCCCCTTCGGGAATCTGTGTCAGTTTGTCAAGATCGTAAAGCAACTTCAGCGTCTCTTCGGGGGCAGAGGAAGGACTGTGGTCGGTTGGGGTACCAACGTCGGGCATGTCGACGTCGTCCATGACCGCTCGTATGCTCTACCGCCGGCCATGGAAGAGGGAAAGATTGGTAAACCAGAGACGGTACTGATTCACGGGTGCGGTGTACGCCCTAATCGTCCTGCGGCGGTCTTCCTCGAATTCCCTCTCAAGTGCTTCTAACTCAGCGTCGACCTCGAGTCGTTCCAGTTGCGCTTTGATGTCGGCGTCTACCGAATCGGCGGGGGGTGGGATAAGTTGCGGCTGTTGGGCACTAGGCCTTCCTCTGGCCATGCGTCGCCGACTTAGTAAGGTTGGGAGATGCTATCGTCGCCCTGATCTATCGTCGCCGACTTTCCTAGATGACGACCTAGAACCTACTAAGGCGAAGTCGACGATGGTCGACCCCAACACCGACCTAGTCAGTCTATTCCAGGTCGACGCCTGTGTGCCGCCGCTCGGTCGACTCGGCCGTCAAGTAACCTACACCCGCAGAGATAGCGAGGGTCCTGTGAAGAAAACGAAGTGCCAGATGGCGCACAGGAGCATGCGAGAAACACGAAGCTGAACCGGCAGAATGAGAGCGTTGTGCGTGATCAAGGAGGGGTATGGTTGCGAGCCACTGCGCACCTGCCGCGCTCCACGCAGCCCTCTTTGCAAGCGCCGCTGTGCACGTGCATGACGTGTCACGATCGATGCATGTCTAGTGTCACGCCGCTCTGCGCTCAACGGCACTCCCGCCGGTGCCTTGCCTCGGTGGAATTCACATGTGCCACGTGCAATTGGCCAATCACCTAGTTCCACTCTCCCGAAATGCCGTAGCGTCCTGCTCTCCCGCGAAAACCTCATCGACCTGCGAGTAGGCGCGTGGCAGGAGGGTTGGTCGACACCGACATTCCCTGAGTCTGGGGCTCTCTTCGCCTATGCATGGTTTGGTCCGCTCAGATTACTCCGCGTGGGTCGTGCTGCTGCGGTTGGATCTTCGGGCGACACCGACATCTCAATATCCCGCGTTCTCTGGCTATCTAGGTGGTGGACATATGTACATGCCCTAGCCAGTCGTCTTTCGCCGCGTGGACGATGGTGACATTTTTCGTCGGCGCGCCAAGTTTCGCGCGCAGCGAAATATACCCGGTGGTGCGAAGCGGGGCCACGTCGGCGCCGTCGTGGCACCTCCCGATTGTCAGGCTCGATCTCGGCCGTCCCTACTAGGCCACGTGGCCGTAATCGCGGCTCGGCGCACGACGTGTCGAGCTGTGTGGTTCAGGGTCCGCTGAGAACTCACGAAACTCCAGTCTCCTCATCCCACGCGATCATCCCAACGCTACGCCTGGCATGTCAGCCCAAATCGAACTCCCTTGTCAACAAAAATGCAGTTGGCGAGTCTAGCCAGCAGCAACAGCCTCGGGATTATCATACTGGACTGAGTAGGTACTGAGTAGGCCAAGAGAGTATGGTGACGTTGTGAAAAGGCAGTACCGCATCGCTTTCTCAGTATCGTCGTAGAAGCATCGTCATCTCTTCGTGCTGGTTTTCTCGCAATCGCAACCTCGAAACACCCATTCCCGTCGACACCGGAGAACCAGGATGTTGTTCGCGCGGCTAGACGACACGCCAATGCTGCGCAAGCAGGTACACCGCTCCGCTCTGCCCCTTTTCCGCCATCAGAATGGCGTCGCTAGTGCCAGATCGAAGGAATAAGTTTTAGAATTCACCTGTTTTTACCTACATCCGTCTTTACAAGCGAGACATGCATGATCCGTCCCGTTCGATCCGTCTATACTCGTTGCGTACGTCCTCTTTAGGTCGGGAAGGCCAATTCGTTTAGTTGGATGGTATCGGAGCAGAGTTAGGGCGAGAGCTGGACGACAAGTTGTCGCACTGCCATCGTTACGTGGAAGCGATTGCTCTCCCTCTCTTTCTGTCACTAAGCCTCATTGTTTCGAGCTTTGAAAGACGCTGCTTCCCTGATGCTCAATACCCCGCCTCGCATGCTTTGATCCCACTTGTCGAACCCTCACAACCCGCACATGTAATACCATTCACTCCCTGCATCCCTTGACTCGCGACGGCCTAGCATAACCCTATCCGCGTGTAACCCACCCTTGCACACATCTGTTCTTATCTGTGCGCGAATCTTTCCCCGCACGTGGCGTCGCTGGAGGAGATTCTGGTGCTGCTGAGGTTGAGACGTCTCAAGAACCCGCATTACCCTCCCCGCATCACCGTCCCCGCATCACCTTCCCCGCATCACCCTCCCCGCATCACCCTCCCCGCATCACCTTCCCCGCATCACCCTCCCCGCATCACCCTCCCCGCATCACCTTCCCCGCATCACCCTCCCCGCATCACCGTCCCCGCATCACCGTCCCCGCATCACCCTCCCCGCATCACCCTCCCCGCATCACCCTCCCCGCATCACCCTCCCCGCATCACCCTCCCCGCATCCCACTCCCCGTCTCCCTGTGCGACTCTCCCCGCAGCTGGCGTTGTTGGAAGAGAGTCTGGAGCTCCTGAGAGACCGCTGTTGCCAGCCTTGAGACGTCTCAGATCCCCGCATCCCTCTCCCCGCATCGACCTCCCCACATCACCCTCCCCACATCACCCTCCCCACATCACCCTCCCCACATCACCCTCCCCGCATCCCTCTCCCAGCAGCTGGCGGCGCTGGAGGAGAGTCTGGTGCTGCTGCGGGGTCGCTGTTGCCTGCTCGCATCTCTGATGCCCCTCGCTCCCTGCATCCCGTTTGGTCCCCCAACGTTCCTCGCCCTTGCGTAACCCTCCCTGAATCTCTCTCCCCGCAGCTGGCGTCGTTGGAGGAGAGTCTCGAGCTGCTGAGGGACCGCTGCTGCCAGCTCGCTCGCAGCTGCAACGACTTCGCGTGAGTCGCCTCACGCTCCTGCTCCACCACGCCTCGCCCTGCCGCTCCACCACGCCTCGCCCTGCTGCTCAATCCCTCCTGCTCTTGGCCCCGTGCCTGCCCATTGCGTTCCTTCGTGCATCCCTCCTTGAAGCGTCGCTCCCCATGCACCCCTCACTGCTCCTCACACCCCCCTGCCAATGCAATTCTCTCTCCCTCACACACCAGGGCATCCCTGGGCGAGTCGTTCGAGGCGGAGCGTGCCTTCGTGCATGCGGCTTTTCCTCCTCCCACTGTATGCTGGACTTAACACTCACTGCGTGCCTCCTCACGCACCCAATCTCCTCTCTCTCCCACACACCAGGGCATCCCTGGGCGAGTCGTTCGAGGCAGAGAGCGCCTTCGTGCACGCCATGGAGCGCTTCTTTGGTGCGCCCGAGGATGCCGTCAGCATCGCCACAGGCGGTGAGCTTAATGGACAGAGGGCAGGGTGGTGAGCCGTGCAGTGCAGGGTGGTGAGCCGTGCAGGGTGGTGAGCCGTGCAGGGTGGGTGGTGAGCCGTGCAGGGTGGTGAGCCGTGCAGGACGGTGAATCCTGCAGGGTGCACTCAGGGGTTGTGCCAGCGATGGTGGTGTCCCCTTTCACCCCATCCCCACCCCGTCTTCCTGCCCCCTGCTTTCTCCCACGCACCTCTGCCTCCAACCCTCGGTATTCCGCCAGGTCCTGTGCTGGGGCAGTTCGTGATGACGCTGCGTGACCTCACCATATTTAAGGAGACGCTCAAATCACAGGCAAGCGCCGTGTGCGCCCCACACCACAGTGTAGTGCTGTGCAGTGCAGTGCCGTGTCATGCCGTGTCGTGATGTGCTGTGCTGTGCTGTGCAGTGCTGTGCTGTGCTGTGCTGTGCTGTGCTGTGCTGTCTGCAGTGCTGTGCAGTGCAGTGTTGTGCTGTGCGGTGCAGTGCAGTGCTGTGCTGTGCAGTGCTGTGCTGTGCTGTGCTGTGTTGTCTGCAGTGCTGTGCAGTGCAGTGTTGTGCTGTGCGGTGCAGTGCAGTGCTGTGCTGTGCAGTGCTGTGCTGCGCTGTGCTGTGCTGTGCTGTGCTGAGCTGAGCTGTGTGCAGTGCAGTGCTGTGCTGTGCTGTGCAGTGCTGTGCTGTGCAGTGCTGTGCTGTGCTGTGCTGTGCTGTGCTGTGCTGTGCTGTGCTGTGCTGTGCTGTGCAGTGCTGTGCTGTGCTGTGCAGTGCTGTGCTGTGCGCATCAGTTGCATGCGTAGTCCCTCCAGGCATGCCCTTGCGGTTCCTCACGCATTCATCCACACTGCACTTTTGAGGGACTTAATCTGAACCTATATTGCAGTCATTAAGTTCTAGAATTTCTCTTAATCGAGGATTCAAATCATGTGGGTATACCGACCACAGCGGGAATTTGGGGGGGTTTAGGGTTCACTCTTCACTCACAAACTCTTTTCTTTCCACGTGATGCCGTTTTCCCGTCAATGACATACCATTTCCCACCCCATCTATCTCAAATTTTCCCAGCACCTCCTTTTCTCCGGCTTGGTGGGTGTTTGTGCAGATAAAGCACGTGCTGCATGATAGAATCACCGTATTGGTTGTTAAGGCTCCTCTTACCCCCCACCCCCACCCCTTCACCCTCACCCTCTGTGTGCAGATGGAGCATGTGCTGCATGACAGAATCACCAACTTCGTGGAGAACGATCTCAACAACCTCAAGGTGGGCTGCCCTGCCGCTGACTCGCGTTGACTCTCGAGTTGACTAAAGAAGACCCATTCCAGCTGCCCCAGTTGTGCTGCCGTTGGCTGTGGGGAGGGAGGCCTGTCAGGTCCCAGCGTTGTTGTGAGCTTGTCAAGTCACGCCACAGCACGATTTTCTAGGCTGGGTTGGACTGGAAGCTGAGGTCTTTGAAGCACTTTCTTTCTTAGCTGGTTTATGTGCAACTAAACATGGGTGCATGGGTGCAGCTGGTGGTGCATGGGTGCATGGGTGCAGCTGGTGCATGGGTGAAGCTGGTGCATGGGTGCAGCTGGTGCATGGGTGCATGGGTGCAGCTGGTGCATGGGTGCAGCTGGTGCATGGGTGCAGCTGGTGCATGGGTTCATGGGTGCAGCCAGCTGAGGTCGCTCATACTGCTGAGTGCATGTACCCATGCACTCATGCTGCTGGGTGCATGAGTGCACCCATGCACAAATAAGTGCATGGGTGCTCATGCTGCTGAGTGCATCCAACCCCAAGGTCGCTCACATTCACAACATACATAATAGCATCACGCCATTCACGCATGCCATTCACCCATCCCGTTTACCCGTGCACTACGTCCGTACCCGTTGCCCCATGCGAGCCATCAGGAGGTGCGGCGGCGCTACGACAAGGCTGGGCGGCAGTATGACCAGGTGAGGACGAGGATTTGCTCCCCACTGCCCTTGCTCCCACCCATCCTATTGCCGCACCATGGATGCACCCATGCACACACCCACGCACCCATGCACGCACCCATGCACCCATTCGCACACATGCTCCTTCAAGGTTTATTCTCGCCGCATTCACGGCCTGTGCATGATGGATCATGGACCTCTGAATATCAACCGATGCAGGACCTCTTGTTGTTGCTCAACAAAGGGTTCAAAGCCCAAGTGATCTTGGGATAGCTAACAGACATTCCCCTGTCCCCCTCTGCCCCTCCCCTCCACCCCTCCCTCCCCTCTCCTCCCCAATTCCGCCCTCTCACCAGATGCGGGAGCGCTTCCTGTCGCTCAAGAAGGGCATCAAGGCTGAAGTGGCGGCAGAGGCCGACGAGGTGAGAGGGGATTGGTTTGAGTTTGACTGGAAAGTGTTGGGAAAATTTCTGCGAGGGGGAGGAGAGGGGGGTTCGAGAAATCAGAGATATGTGGGCACAGCATGGAAGGCAAGTGGAGATGTGGGAGGAGGTGGGTGGGAAGATGTGGATGGGAGGAAGGTGTTGAGAGGAGACAAGGGAAGTGTGTGAGAAAAGGTGTTGGGCGGCGACTCCCTTTTTCCCTTGGAAGTTGCCGCCCAAGTTTTCCTTCCGTCGTACCCACACCGCTGCTCTCTCTTGTCCTCTCCTCTCTCCTGCTCGCCCTCTCTCTGCCCTCCTCACAGCATGGGGCCCGCATGCTGCAGTGCAATCATACCTGAATTGAATCCATACGCTGCAGTTCGAGATGTTTACATGCCCCCCTCCCATGCCCTCCCGTGCCCCTCCCATGCCCTCCCATGCCCCTCCCATGCCCTCCCATGCCCTCCTATGCCCCTCCCATGCCCTCCCATGCCCTCCCATGCCCTCCCATGCCCTCCCATGCCCCTCCCATGCCCTCCCATGCCCTCCTATGCCCCTCCCATGCCCTCCCATGCCCTCCCATGCCCTCCCATGCCCCTCCCATGCCCTCCCATGCCCTCCTCTGCCCCTCCCATGCCCTCCCATGCCCTCCCATGCCCCTCCCATGCCCCTCCCATGCCCTCCCATGCCCTCCTATGCCCCTCCCATGCCCTCCCATGCCCTCCCATGCCCCTCCCATGCCCTCCCATGCCCTCCTCTGCCCCTCCCATGCCCTCCCATGCCCTCCCATGCCCTCCCATGCCCTCCCATGCCCTCCCATGCCCTCCCATGCCCTCCCATGCCCTCCCATGCCCTCCCATCCCGTGCCCCTCCCATGCCCCTCCCATGCCCCAACCGTGCCCCTCCCATGCCCCTCCCATGCCCCTCCCGTGCTCATAAAAAAACCTGCAACCCCCTCACCCTTTTCGTCACGCCCCTTTGATTTCACCCCCTGTGCCACCGGGATTCGCTTGGCTCGCATGCAGTTACAGATGTCAAGATACCCTCCCCCTCATGCCCGTGCCAACACCCGTGCCCCAATCACTCCCCTGTGCCCACCAGGACCTGCAAACGGCTCGCATGCAGTTTGAGCAGGCGCGCTTCAACCTTGTGAGCTCTCTCTCCCCTTGCCTGCTCTGACGACCCTGTCCTGTTTTGACTTGGCTGAAAGCACACTCCAAAACACACTGTACTTTCAATTCATCTCAAGAAACACAGCTTCTGAAACTCTCTTCTGAGTGAGCTCAGCTCCACTCATCTGTGAAAGTGCAATGGCTCCACTCAATGCGCACGCAGTTGCAGTTTGAGCAGGCAGGCACAACACAGTTTTACGAAGGGCATGAATAAGGCACAGCACAATAAGGGAATGTGATGTGAACAACTCCTCCTCCAAACACCACCTCATAAGCTTATGAGGGTCTTCTTCTCTTAAGCTTCAGATATAACAATGCTTCCCCTGCAACTCTATTGACTCCGTCCCTGCCATGCGCGATCCTCGTGCTGTGTGCGTGTGTGTGTGTGCGTGTGTGTGTGTGCGTGTGTGTGTGTGTGTGTGCGTGTGCGTGTGTGTGTGTGTGCGTGTGTGTGTGTGTGCGTGTGTGTGTGCGTGCGCGCGCGTGTGTGTGTGTGTGGGTGTGTGTGCATGCGTGCGTGCGTGTGCGTGCGTGTGTGTGTGTGTGTGGGGGGGGGTGAGCGTGCGTGTGCGTGTGTGTGTGTGAGGAGGAAAGGGGGGGGGGGGGGGGGGGGGGTGGATGTATCTGTGCACATCATCTATGAAAATTCCCGCCTGCCCCCCCCTAGACATGGGCAAAGAGTCGAGTTTCCAAGCTCGACTCGATCGGGGGACTCGTTACTGGTCGAGTGTCGAGTGCAAGGACCCGTTGAAAAAACTTGACCGGACCGAGTCGAGTTTTACCCGCCGAGTTTTTAAAAAACTCGGTCCAAGCTCGGGCCCCATGTCGAGTTTTTTCCAGACTCGTCGAGTTTTCTGGACTCGGCGAGTTTACGAAAAACTCGTCGCGACATTGGGGTGGGGTGGGCATACAAATTTCGAAAGTCGAAGTTTTGCGGGTCCATTTTCAGATCTCGATTTCAGTCAGTCACCTTCCTCAACATGTCGTCCGTAGTTTCCAGAGCCAAACCAGTCAAACGCCCGGCTGTTTTTTCTTCTTAAACTTAAGATCGGTCCAGGGGCAACGTAGATCTAGGTTTACGCTTAGTTAGGGTTCGCGGTTTTATTGTATGGTTGGTTTCGATTAGGGTTTGAGGAGGAGGAAACGCTACTATTTAATAATGTAACGGTCGATCTACTGATTTAGCATGGCGAAATTCAAGCAGCTGACAAGTAAGAACACCAACGGCGGGAAAGCGGGGGCGGGAGGAACCCACCGTGGCGATCATGCGGGAGGAGGGGGGGGGAAGACCAGGTGGAGACGGCTACGCAGCGTCGCAGGCGTACAATAATATAGGGTATACAACAAAAAACCATGCACGAAAATAAGCCTCAGGTCTCACTTTTCTTTTCTATGGTGTGTCCCCCCCCCCCCTCCCCCCCGCCGAGCCGAGTTTAACTAGGACTCGACCGAGCGTATGAATAGCGCCGGTCGAGTTTTAAAAAACTCGCCCTTATACAGTCGAGTCTCGAGTCCTGAACCTTGGCAAAAAAACTCGACCGGGTTTCACCCGACTCGAGCTCGAACTCGGTCGAGTTTTGGCCCAGACCGAGTCGAGTTTTACTCGACTCGGTCCGTAGCCCATGTCTACCCCCCCCCCATTGCTGCCTGCCCGGTGCTATGAGCAGATGACAGCGCTGAGCAGTGCAGAGGCGAAGAAGAAGCACGTGTTCCTCGAGTCCATCGGCTCTGCTGTGCACGCCCACCTGCGCTACTTCAAACAGGTACCAGCCATGCTCATATGCATGCTCATGCTCACAGGCATGCTCATCATGTGCACATTTATAGTTGTGCGCACATGTGTGTGCGCCCGCTTGCGCAACTTCAAATAGGTAGGTACCCGCATTCATACTTGAACTCCCATGTAAGGAGATGTGCTCGTAAAAATGTTTCCACATGGAGAGTGCAGCATGCCTTCATGCTGCTGCCACATCAATATATTGTGCCGACCAACCCATGCCACATTTGGTGGGCTTGAAATGAAAGCTTGCCAAGTGGCACTGCAGCTGCAACCTATCCGCGACAAGCTGCACTTGCTTGTTCTGCGCATGTCACCTGTCCACTGCTTCACACCAATGTTTCCCGTTCTTGTGTTGCACCAACCAGCCTGCCCTGTGAATGATTTCATCTCCCACCTTGCTTTCTTCCACACGGCAGGGCTACGAGCTGCTGCAAACAGTGGAGCCGTACATCCATCAGGTGATTCTCCAGGGTGCTGTGTCAGGTCAAGGGGCGGATTGTTTGGCTGTGAGCTGTCTTAAAATGATTGTATCAGCCGTGGAGCCGTAGATCCATCAGGTGATTCTCGAGGGTGTCGGGCCGAGAGCTATGTTGCTGCTTGCATGTAGGGCTGGGTAGGTTAGGCCACACCAATGCCCGAGAAGAAGGAAGCATGCTGTATTTCGTTGATTTTCCAACGGCTTCTTTTGTGCCATCGTTCCATCTTCATGTCTTCTCATCTCATCCCGGCCATCGTATTGCATCACCCAGCCATGATATCGCAGCTCACAGGTTTTCATTGTTCCCATCATCCATACCCTTCTCATATTCCCTATCCTTCTGACTCGGGTCCCCATGTTCCCACATCATCCTAGCATGTTCGGGTGCCCATCCGCCCTCACACGTATCTTCAGGCTCTCCCATTGCCTCCGCATGCTCTAATGCACGGCCAGCCGATACTAATCCTCTCAATTCCACCACGCCTCTCCCGTTCTCGCAGGTCCTCACGTTCTCTCATCAAGCACAGGAACAGGCCAATCAGGAGCAGGTGCGTGTTTGTGTGTGTCTATGTGGGTGTGATGTATGTATGTGTGCATGTGTATGTGTGCATGTGTGCATGCGTGTGTCCGTGCGTGTGTGCGCGCACACATGTGTGATGTATCTGAATGCCTTCATTCTTAGATAACTCATTGTGGAGTATGAGCCGGGGCAATGCTACCATGCACGTCCCCACATTCCAATCTTCACTCCTTGCCTCAACCCTCCTCTCCTCTCCTTCCCTCCCTCGACCTCTCCACCCTCTGCTGCCTCTCACTCTCTCAGCCGAAGCTAGCAGAGCGCATCTACCAGTTCCGCCGTACCCCAGGAAGAGGAGAGTGTGTGCCTGAGTCTCTGTGTGCGTGTGTCTCCGTGTGTGTGTCTCTGTGCGTGTGTCTCCGTGTGTGTGTCTCTGTGCGTGTGTCTCCGTGTGTGTGTCTCTGCGCGTGTTTCTCCGTGTGTGTGTCTCTGCGCGTGTTTCTCCGTGTGTGTGTCTCTCTGTGTGTGTCTCTGTGCGTGTGTCTCCGTGTGTGTGTCTCTGTGCGTGTGTCTCCGTGTGTGTGTCTCTGTGCGTGTGTCTCCGTGTGTGTGTCTCTGTGCGTGTGTCTCCGTGTGTGTGTCTCTGTGCGTGTGTCTCCATGTGTGTCTCTGTGCGTGTGTCTCCGTGTGTGTGTCTCTGTGCATGTGTCTCCGTGTGTGTGTCTCTGTGCGTGTGTCTCCGTGTGTGTGTCTCTGTGTGTGTGTCTCTGTGTGTGTGTCTCCGTGTGTGTGTCTCTGTGCGTGTGTCTCCTTGTGTGTGTCTCTGTGCGTGTGTCTCCGTGTGTGTGTCTCTGTGCGTGTGTCTCCGTGTGTGTGTCTCTGTGCGTGTGTCTCCGTGTGTGTGTCTCTGTGCGTGTGTCTCCGTGTGTGTGTCTCTGTGCGTGTGTCTCCGTGTGTGTGTCTCTGCGCGTGTTTTTCCGTGTGTGTGTCCCTGTGTGTGTCCGTGTGACCTGTTTCTTGCAATGTGCACAGACGGAGCTAGCAGAGCGCATTTACCAGTTCCGGCGCACACAGGAGGAGGAGAGCGCGCAGCTAGAAGCCGCCCACACACACGCGCAGGCACAGGCGCTGGCGCACGCACAGGGGCGGGGGGGCGGCGGGCGCATGTCAGGGGCTGGTCTGGCGGGTGCAGATGGGGCGGGGGGCGGGGAGGGGTTTGGGCAGGGCCGCGGGCCGTATAGGCCATCAGGAGGAGTGACTTCGAGCAGTGTGGAGCAGATGATGAGGGCTGGTGCAGGCGGGCAGAAGAAGGTGAGAGACTCATTGGGATGAGTACAGTGCGTATGAATGTGTGTGCATATATGTATGTGTGTGTATATATGTATGTGTACATGTGTGTATACACATGTGTCTGTATATATGTATGTGTGTATGTGTATGTGTATGTGTATGTGTATGTGCATGTGTGTGTACATGTCTATGTGTGTGTATATGTGTATTTGTGTGTATATGTGTATGTGTGTGTACATGTCTAGATGTGTGTATATGTGTGTGTGTGTGTATATTTGTATGTGTGTATATGTGTGTGTGTATATTTGTATGTATATTTCTCACCACTGCCAAGTTACCATTTCCCCTCCCTCCTCTCTCCATCCCTACCTGCTTCCCTCCTCTCTCAAATGGAACATACACCTAACCACACCCTTCTTCCTGTTTCCCCTTCTCCTGTATGCGCAGTGCATGCACGCCTGAGGCGCAGGTGGTGATGAAGCGTTGGTTAATCCCGAGGCACGCCACTGCACTCCAATGTCACATACACCACGCCGCCTCACCACACTTCCCTCCCGTGTCCCTTTCGCGCTGTTTGTGTGAAACACCACACCACACCACACCACACCACACCACACCACACCACACCACACCACATCACATCACATCACAGGTGCAGGTGATCAAGCAGGGGTACCTGGTGAGGCGCACTGCTGCTGCCCGCTCGCGCCACTTCTTTGTCCTCGATTCAAGGGGCTCCCTTTACTATCACAAGGATGCTCAGGTGTGTTTGACTTACAGCGCTCCATTCATTGGTGCTATGCGACGGCCAATCACGAGGGGTTTAATTAAGTTTCTGCCGTGTCCTATGCTCGTATGACCCTCCATACGCCAGCACCTGTTCTTATCCGGTTTCCCTTGGTTGCCCTCTTCCTCCTTCCTTGCGCCCTCCTCCCTCGTCTCCTCCTCCCTACTCGCTCCCCTGCTCCACTCCCCCTGCCCTCAGAATGCCCGCTCCGACACGCTCTCCTCGCTCTTCTCCCTTGTCCGCGCTCGCACCACCGACGCCACCCCTCCCGCCCCGCCGCCCGCCAACCCCATGGCCCAGCACTACCGCCCACTCGGCCTGGGCGGCAGGGGCGGCAGCGGGCACGGGGAAGAGGGGGGAGACGACCATAGCACAGACGCAATGGGCATGGGGGGAATGGGGGCGGGGATGGGGGGGATGGGGATGGGGGAGGAGGAGGAGCGGAACCACGCGCTGCAGTACGAGTCGCTGAACCTGCTGACTGCCACCATCAAGATGGACGCTGATGAGCCTGACCTGCGCTTCTGCTTCCGCCTCGTCACCCCCGACTGCACGCACACACTGCAGGTATGGCAGTCGACTGCACGCACACACTGCAGGTATGGCAGTCGACTGCACGCACACACTGCAGGTATGGCTCTTGCTTGCAGTCGACTGCACCCACACGCTGCGGGTATAGCCGTTGGCATTGGCGCCGTGCTTCCTCCCCATTTTACTCAACGGGGCGGTATTCGTGCTGGCACTGTATGTGTGGTGGCATTGTCGAGAAGTGTGAGAGCATGATTCGTTGCGGTGGACACATCTGTATACGTGCATGTGTGGTGGGGGGGTGGTGGCAGGCGGAGAGTGCAGCGGAGCAGAGGGACTGGATGGAGAAGATCACAGCTGTCATTGCCTCGCTGCTCAACTCCCACACCACCGCCCAGGTGACCCCTTGCTTCCCTGACTCACTTCCCCCCTGCCTCCCTGCTTCCCTGACCCCCTGCCTGTTTTCTTTGCTGCTTCCCGCCTGTCGCTTGCTCGCCCACCTGCTTATTTTGCCCGCTTGTTCTGCTTGTCTTGTTTTGCCCCGTCGGTGCACGGAGGCAGCACAAACTTCACTTCCTCCTCCTCCATTGCACGCACTCATCCTCGCCTCTCGGTCTCGCCGCCTCCCGTTTGCTGCTGCTTCTAAAAGCTAATGCACGATGCGTCCTCGTTCGCATGCCAGTGGCGTTGCAAGCACCATGTTGCAGCGTTGCTATCCAGTGGCGTCGCAAGCACCATGTTGCAGCGTTGCTATCCAGTGGCGTCGCAAGCACCATGTTGCAGCGTTGCTATCCAGTGGCGTCGCAAGCACCATGTTGCAGCGTTGCTATCCAGTGGCGTCGCAAGCACCATGTTGCAGCGTTGCTATCCAGTGGCGTCGCAAGCACCATGTTGCAGCGTTGCTATCCAGTGGCCGCCTCAACCATCTCTCACTCAACAGGACGCATAGGAGGGCGGGCAGGGCAGCCCTCACTGCCCACAGCAGCACTGCCCACAGTGGAGAGACCATTGGCGTTGTTGAGCTATGCCAGCTGCAACCACAGCTATTCTCACTCACCCCTGCTTCCCCCGACTTCCCCTCCTTCCCCTCCCCCTGCTCCCCCGTCTCCCCCTTGCTGCACTCCGTCTCCTCCCCTTCACCCCCCTCCCCCTCCCCCCCTCCTCGCCCCCCCACGCCAGCCAGCGCCATCAGTGGCGGACTTGACCATTTCCCACCGGGCAGCATCGCAGGACGGGCAGGCAGCAGCACTGCCCATAGTGGAGCGACCACTGGAGGTGCTGGGCTATGTGAGCGGCAACGACCGCTGTGCGGACTGCAGCCGGGCGCACCCCGATTGGGCGTCGCTCAACCTCTGCGTGCTGCTCTGTATCGACTGCTCCGGCGTGCACCGCAACCTGGGCGTGCACCGCTCAAAGGTGAGAACGCATAGCTCAAAAGGGTAGTGGAGAGTGCAGTAACCGGTGTTTTTACTATGGTATGAGGCACCTTGACTAACTGGGGTCGCTCAACCTCTGTGTGTTGCTCTGCATCGAATGCTCCGGCGTGCACAGGAACCTGGGCGTGCATCGCTCCAAGGTATGTGTGCAACTCACAAGCGGCACATGGGCTTTAAGCAGTGGAGAGCTCAGTAGCCGGATCGGGGGATGCCTGAAATCGGGTCATGGTATGAGCCGCCCTGACCAATTGCGCGTTATCAACCTCTGTGTGCTGCTCTGCATCGACTGCTCCGGCGTACACAGGAGGAACTTGGGGGTGCACCGCTCCAAGCTATGCTTGCAACTCATTCTATGCTTGAGCCAAAATCGCAAGTGGTACGTGGGCTTTTAGCAGTAGAGATCTCAGTAGCCGGGGCGGGGTGTGCCTAATTTTAGGTCATGGTATAAGGCACCCCTACCCACCCCGACTGGGCGACGCTCAATCTCTGCGTGCTGCTCTGCACTGCATTGACTGCCCCGCGTTGACTGCTCTGGCGTGCACCAGAATCTGTTGGTGTGGTGGACATCTCTACTGATGTGTGCCTTATGGTCACCGAAAGAGCCTTGGGAGACGACTTGACTAACCTCATCCCACTTCCCTCCGCGACTTCCCCCTTCCCTCCGCGACTTCCCCCTTCCCTCCGCGGCTTCCCCCTTCCCTCCGCGACTTCCCTCCTTCCCTCCGCGACTTCTCCCTTCTGTGCTTCCCTGCCACCAGGTGCGGTCGTTGACACTAGACGTGAAGGTGTGGACGGCACCACTGGTGCGGTTGATAGCAATAGAAGGAACTTCTGACCCGCCTTTATTAGCCCTCTCCCTCCCCCTCCCCTGTGCTTCTGCACCCTGTGCGTCCCACCACCAGGTGCGGTCATTGACACTAGACGTGAAGGTATGGACGGCACCACTGGTGCGGCTGATAGCCATTAGTGGTCCTTTTGAGGCGCCAACCCCTCCTTTTGAGGCGCCAACCCCTTTTGTTCCCTCACCCCTTCCTTCCCTCCCTCCCCCCTCCCCCACGCCTCCCACAACCAGGTGCGATCGTTGACACTAGATGTGAAGGTGTGGACGGCACCGCTGGTGCGGCTGATGGCCATAGTGGGCAACGACTTTGCCAACAGCGTGTGGGGGCAGCAGCTCAAGGACGTTCAGGGGGGGAGAGAAGGGAATGCAGGCTCTTCAGGCCGTGCCCTGACACGGTATGTTGTGCGGTGGTGCGCGGTGCTGTGTGGTGCTGTGCTGTGTGGTGCTTTGCCCATATTCAATATCCTTCCATATCATACCATACCATGATACGGCAGGCCATACCACACCATACCAGAACTCCAACATATCGTATCATAACCATACCATTCTACACCACACCACACCATACCATACCATTCCATACCACACCACACCATACCATACCATTCCATACCACACCACACCATACCAAACCATACGATAGCATACCATATCATTGCCCCACACGTTTCCTCCACCCTTTCACTACTCAACCGCCCGCTTCTCCCACTCTCTGTCTCACTTCCCCCCTCGCTTTCACCTCCTTCCCCGCCACTTCCCCCGTCACTTCCCTCCAACCATGGCGCCACGTAGAGTGGAGAGCGGGGAGGGCGAGGGGGGGGATCACATCCTATTGGCCAACGAGGAGGGGTTTCAATGCTTGCATCACCCATCCAGCCGCTGCTCCTGCTCTCTGTCTCACTTCCTTTTTCGCTTCCTTCTCCTCACCCCCCTCTGTTCCTGTTTTGTCCCACCACACACAACCATGGTACCGCGTAGAGTGGAGAGCGGGGAGGGCGAGGGAGAGGACTACATCCTATTGGCCAACGATGGAGGGGCGTCAATGCTCGCTTCAGCAGCAGCAGCACCTGCTCTGGTGCACAAGCCAGCAGACACGGACTCGCTGGCAGTGAAAGAGCAGTACATTCACTGCAAGGTGGGTGGGATGCACATGTGCAGGCTTTAAGGTTTAGAGTCACCTTTGACAAAATTTTCACTTCAGAGTCAAGCCAGCAGGCACGGACCCGTTGCAGTGAAAGGGAATACATCAGTTGCAAGGTGGGTAAGTGGGACGCGCGCGTGCAGGGTTTACGGTTTTGTGTTGCTTTTCAGTCGGATCAACAGTCAAGCTGGCAGACACAGACTCATTGGCCCTCAAAGACACAGACTCACTATTTGCCACCCCCTAATCTCACCTCCCCCCCATCTTGCAGTACGTGGCATGGCGCTTCCTCGCCCCCTCCAACAACACCCCTCCAACAACACCCCTCCAACAACACCCCCTCCAACAACACCCCTCCAACAACACCCCCTCCAACAACACCCCTCCAACAACACCCCTCCAACAACACCCCTCCAACAACACCCCTCCAACAACACCCTCTCCAACAACACCCCCTCCAACAACACCCCCTCCAACAACACCCCCTCCAACAACACCCCTCCAAGAACACCCCTCTAACAACACCCCTCCAACAACACCCCTCCAACAACACCCCTCCAACAACACCCCTCCAACAACACCCCCTCCAACAACACCCCTCCAACAACACCCCCTCCAACAACACCCCCTCCAACAACACCCCTCCAACAACACCCCTCCAACAACACCCCCTCCAACAACACCCCTCCAACAACACCCCTCCAACAACACCCCTCCAACAACACCCCTCCAACAACACCCCCTCCAACAACACCCCCTCCAACAACACCCCCTCCAACAACACCCCCTCCAACAACACCCCTCCAACAACACCCCTCCAACAACACCCCTCCAACAACACCCCTCCAACAACACCCCTCCAACAACACCCCTCCAACAACACCCCTCCAACAACACCCCCTCCAACAACACCCCTCCAACAACACCCCTCCAACAACACCCCTCCAACAACACCCCTCCAACAACACCCCTCCAACAACACCCCTCCAACAACACCCCCTCCAACAACACCCCCTCCAACAACACCCCCTCCAACAACACCCCCTCCAACAACACCCCTCCAACAACACCCCTCCAACAACACCCCTCCAACAACACCCCTCCAACAACACCCCTCCAACAACACCCCTCCAACAACACCCCCTCCAACAACACCCCCTCCAACAACACCCCCTCCAACAACACCCCTCCAACAACACCCCTCCAACAACACCCCTCCAACAACACCCCTCCAACAACACCCCTCCAACAACACCCCTCCAACAACACCCCTCCAACAACACCCCTCCAACAACACCCCTCCAACAACACCCCTCCAACAACACCCCTCCAACAACACCCCCTCCAACAACACCCCTCCAACAACACCCCTCCAACAACACCCCTCCAACAACACCCCTCCAACAACACCCCTCCAACAACACCCCCTCCAACAACACCCCCTCCAACAACACCCCCTCCAACAACACCCCCTCCAACAACACCCCTCCAACAACACCCCTCCAACAACACCCCTCCAACAACACCCCTCCAACAACACCCCTCCAACAACACCCCTCCAACAACACCCCCTCCAACAACACCCCTCCAACAACACCCCCTCCAACAACACCCCCTCCAACAACACCCCTCCAACAACACCCCTCCAACAACACCCCCTCCAACAACACCCCTCCAACAACACCCCTCCAACAACACCCCTCCAACAACACCCCCTCCAACAACACCCCCTCCAACAACACCCCCTCCAACAACACCCCCTCGACTGCGCTGCACCACCTCCGCACAGCAGTCGCCTCATGCGATGTGCCATGTGTGAACAGCAGCAAACTCCCCTCGTACTGTGTATTCCCCTCCCCGTCACTATTTTTTCAACCTTCCCCCTTTTCCCCCTTCCTTCCTTCCCATGCCATCCCACCACCCCTCCATGCCACCACCCGTCCATGCCACCACCCGTCCATGCCACCACCCGTCCATGCCACCAACCCACCATCTTCCAGTATGTGGAGCGCTGCTTCCCCGCGCCCACCACCGACACCCCCTCCACGGCACTCCACCACCTGCGAGCAGTCGCCTCCTGCGATGTCCGCTCCGCCTTTCCGGCCCCTGCGACTGCGACGTGTGCTAATTGAACAGTACCACTCTCGCCTTGCACTGTGAAATCCCATTTCCCTTCTATTTCCCTCTCCCCATTCCCCCGTTCCATCCTCCCCCATGCCACCACCCCACCATCTTCCAGTATGTGGAGCGGCGTTACCAAGCGCCCGCCACCGACAACCCCTTGACCGCGCTGCACCACCTGCAAGCAGCTGTTGCCTCCTGTGACGTGCGCTCCGCCTTCCGCCTCCTCGTCACCGCGCCCGTCGACGTCAACGCTGACGTGGTCGGGGTCGTCGCCAGCACGGCGCCAGCTGGACCGGGGACCACAAGAGGCGGTGCGGGGAGAACGGGGCAGAGGCTGCTGCATGTGGCGTGTGAGAGGGGAGACGAGGCGATGGTGGAGCTGCTGCTGCTGTGGGGGGCGGTGGTGAATGTGACCGATGCTGAGGGCCGGACGCCCATGCAAGTGGCGCTGCAGCATGGCAACCATGGATGCTCCAAGCTGCTTGCTAGCAGGTGTGTAGTGCCTCCAAAGATGGGACAGACAGTGTTGATGTAGGATGGCTGTGTTTGGTTTTCCGCCTCATCTGACACATTGTGGGTCTCCTATGTGTTCTGTCCTGCTCCTGTACATGCTCGTGCAGGGTATGACAATTTCATCCATTTGAGATAAGGTTTTCATTGTTAGTCGTACCGTAGAGCTGTGTTGTGTTTTCCTCAGTGCTGATTGTTTCTCTTGCAATACAATCATGGAGAAATGAACAAACGAAAGGAGACAACGGCATCCTGACATAAGCCGATTAGCATGCTCTGCAGAAAGGTGTCAATATTGGAGCAAAGTTGGATTAGCAAAGGAATACATTTTGATACGGCGATTGGATAGTATACCCCGACAACAAGTGCAAACTACTACCAATAACACTCGTAACTGTGCGTGAGGGGATAGGATGTGCTGCCCCATATAAGGTGTCTACGGCTTATTGAACACAGTTCTTGGATTGTCCACATCAACTTCTTTATCGGCAGCTCGAATCCGACCCAGCATCCGCTGTTCCTCCGCGCCTTTCCCTTTCCTCCACATCATCTCCGTGTAGACCCTTGCGTGCTGACAAAAGGCAAACACAATTCTCCTCAGAACTCTGTGCGCACGTAATCTTCGGCCCTGAAAAACCACCTCGCATCGCATCTCTCCTCCAACCAAAGCTGGTGAAGGGTGATGGCAACGAGTGTCGCTTCTAAGAAGGCTGAACTGGATCGTGCCTTCTGAAAGAGAAGGTCCCCCAGTGAAGACACAGCGCGGAGTAGGTTTAGCTAGCCGAAAGCATGTTGCAGGGCCACCACCACCGTCTTGATGCGTGGACCGGGCAATGCTCAAGTGTCAATGCGAGCAGACTGGCTTCGCGCTGAGGACAACTAATCTCTCCCCGACTTGCAAATTCAAGTTAAGTACACGAATGAGGACATCCTTTCGGAGGTTGGGAATAGCATAGCGGGAGATTCCAGGATGTGCACCACATTTCGCCAATTGATGGACCCATTCCACCTTCCCGCCCATTCCACCTTTGTGACTGTATGCGCTCTCCGCTCCAGCAACTTTTCATCTTCCTCATTGATAACTGCGCCCCCCTTTGTCCTACGGGAAGAAGAGCCAGCCGAGTTTGGTGGAGGGGACAACAAGAGGCTTCTCCATCTTTTAGGGGCAGCTGCAAAAGGCTTCAATGGTAGTCTGGCCGGACCTCTTCCTCCAAGTTCCGCCATGGTTTCAGCGATAAGTCACCGCACTGCTGCCGCCGCACCAGATATCTGAGCCTTACATCCCATAATTCCTTTGCGTCTTGCTGCCCACCCACCCGTGTGGCAGACCCCACCAGAATCCGCCTGATAAAAACCAGCCTCTCCCTCGTCACTTCTTTTCTTGTTTCTGCTGTAGGGCTATTGCTTAGTGGGGATTTCACGAAGCTTTCGCACGTTTGCCTCCATTGATGACTCCTCCCCTCCCGGTACCTCCGTAGCCTGTCTTGGGCTGTAAATGAGTCCATACCTAATGGTTTAGAGTGGGCTACGTGGGAGGTCAGGGGTGGTACAAGTGATCGTAGCATTCCTTGTGTTTTCTAGCACTTGCGTGTTTACGGGGCAAAACGGCAAGAGTTTTACTAGCAAAAGTTGAGAACAATGATACACAATGGTTAGGCAAAGAGGACTACATCAGATGCAAGGCAACCTAAAAAGCGGGCAGGTCAACCTCCAATGCAGCACAAAGGCAGCGTGCCAGCGCTGCAAGTCGACGACTGTGCCAACGTAGCTGGCAACTTGCCAGCGCACCTGCAGCTGTGGCTGTTTACGGTCCGGTACGCTGCGCATCAGCTCAACCTCTGGCTTCGTGTCTCCTTCCCGGAGACCTCGCCTACACTGTGTTGGACGGGGGAGGTTGGTGATGCGTCGGTGTTCTGGGTCTGGGGCTCTCGTGCCTTTGTCCGCGATACCTCCGCGGACAAGCTCTCCTCTCGCGCCATTCCCTGTGTCTTCCTTGGCTTTCCCCCTGACGCGCCTGGCTGGCAATTTTACCACCCCACCACGCGCCGTGTCCTGCCCTCTCAGGACGTCACGTTTGACGAGTCGGTCCCCTTTTAACGTCTCTTCCCCTACAGAGTTTCCTCCGACAGAGGCTCCGCTGCAGACTCTCCACATGGACGTGTGGGGCCCAGCCCACGTCCGTGGACAGGGTCACGAGCGTTACTTCCTGCTGGTGGTTGACGACTACTCGCGTTACACCACAGTCTTCCCCTTGCGCAGCAAGGGTGAGGTCACTGCGGTGTTGATCGACTGGATCCGCGCTGCCCGTCTCCAGCTCAGAGAGAGTTTCGGCTCGGACTTTCCTGTTCTGCGTCTGCACTCCGATAGAGGTGGAGAGTTTTCCTCCGACCTTCTGCGAGCCTTCTGTCGTGCACGAGGCATCCGCCAGACGTTCAAACTTCCAGCTTCTCCACAACAAAATGGGATTGCTGAGCGCCGCATTGGCATGGTCATGGACGTCGCTCGTACGTCCATGATCCATGCGGCTGCTCCCCATTTTCTGTGGCCGCTCGCGCTTCAGTACGCGGTGCATCAGATCAACCTTCAGCCCCGGGTCTCCGTGCCGGAGACCTCCCCTACTCTGCGGTGGACGGGGAAGGTTGGCGATGCGTCTGCATTCCGTGTCTGGGGATCTCGAGCTTTCGTCCTCGACTTGTCTCCGGACAAGCTGTCCTTCCGTGCTGTTCCCTGCGTCTTCCTTGGCTTCCCCCCTGACGCGCCTGGTTGGCAGTTTTACCACCCCACCTCGCGCCGTGTTCTGTCCTCCCAGGACGTCACGTTTGACGAGTCGGTTCCTTACTACCGTCTCTTCCCCTACCGTGCTGCCCCCCTCCCCCCCCCGCCGCTCTTCCTCGCGCCAGGTCCCCCCCCGGTAGACACCCTCCCCCCTCAGGGTCCTGCCCCCTCAGGTGTGTCCCAAGTAGACGCAGTCGAGCCTGTCGAGGTAGCTGTTGACTCTGGTGCTGCTAGGGGTGCTAAGCCTGCGGGTGCCGGGTCTGGGGGTGCTGAGCCTGAGCGTGCGGATCCTGGGGGTGCTGAGCCTGGGGGTGCTGAGCCTGGGGGTGCTGAGCCTGGGGGTGCTGAGCCTGGGGTTGCTGAGTCTGGGGGTGCGGAGCCTGAGGGTGCTGAGCCTGCGCGTGTGGAGTCTGGCGGTGCTGGGCCTGGAGGTCCTTCGGGTGCTTTGTCCCGGCGAGAGCTACCCTCTCCACACGAGCTGCGCGGGTGGTTTGCTCGGCGCTGGAGCCGTGCTGCTAGAGCTTGTGGTGCTGCCGGAGCTGGAGGGTCTACTGCTACTGGGGGTGCTGGAGCCACGGATCCCGGAGGTGCTCGTACTGAAGGTACTGGAGCTGCTAGGCCTAGTGGTGCTCCTGGTGCTGGAGCTGCTGTGTCTTCCGGTGGTCCTGCTGGAGCTGGAGCTGCTGGAGGTGCTGGAGCTGGAGGTGCTGCTGGAGCCGGTTCTCCTGTGGCAGCTGGAGTTGGCGCTACTAGAGCGGTGGTGCTGCTGGAGCTGGTGGAGCTGCTGGGGTCGGAGCTGCCGCTGGGGGTGCAGGTGCTGTCCCTGCTAATTCTAGAGGTGCTGCGCGGCCACGACCGCACTTCGTTCCGCTCCTTGAGCAGGTTCTTGGTCTTCCGCCTTCTACTGGTCCTGCTCCTTCCTTAGAGTGTCCACAGCCTGTCCAGTCCGACTCACAGTTACAGCTGGCCTCCCCACTGCCTGCTCCTTCTCCCTACACTGGTCCTACTGGGGGTCTTGCTAAGCGTCGTGAGCCTGAGTCTCGTCCTGCGTCGCCTGTTCGTGCTGCTCGCACTGGTCGTCGTGTTCCGCGTCAGCGTCCTCCTGCGGTCCCGGGCACGCACCAGATGGCACTACGTCCCTCCACTGCTCCACAGCGTGTCCCTTTGCCATCTCCTCCAGAGTCCTCTCTTCCTGCCCTTGCTGAACCGGAGTCTGACTCCCTTCATGCTGCCAGTCCTACTGTCACGCGTCTCCTGGCTAGTGCGGTCACGGACCCTTCCTTTGAGTACACTGCTGCGTCTGCCTTGGTTGCTGAGCTTGTCGACTTCGCTGCTCACTGTCGTCTAGACTACGCTGCTAGTCTTGTTGCTGAGTCTGAGTCTGCCTGTCCTCCGTCCGTCGGGGGTGAGTGTGCTCTTAGCACGGACGTCCTTGAGGACAGGCAGGAGGAGTTCCAGTGTTTTGCTGCTGCTTTACCTCATCTCGTGTCCATGCTAGTTGCTCCTGAGGGAGACCCGGATACACCAGACATCCCGACCCCGCGCTCTTACGCAGAGGCGATGGAGGGTCCCTACTCCTCTCAGTGGCAGTCAGCCATGGACGCAGAGATGGCTTCCTGGAAGTCCACAGGCACCTACGTCGACGAAGTTCACCCACCTGGGGCGAACATCGTCAGTGGCATGTGGATTTTCAGGGTGAAGCGGCCGCCGGGTTCTCCGTCTGTCTTCAAGGCGCGTTACGTGGCTCGAGGCTTCAGTCAGCGGCAGGGAGTTGACTACTTTCAGACATTCTCTCCCACCCCGAAGATGACCACTCTTCGGGTGCTGCTGCACATAGCCGCTCAGCGCGACTACGAGCTTCACTCTCTTGACTTCAGCACTACTTTCCTACAGGGCAGCCTGCACGAGGAGATCTGGCTGCGCCGCCCACCTGGCTTCACTTGGTCGTTTCCTCCTGGTACCCAGTGGAGCCTCCGGCGGCCAGTCTACAGTCTCCGCCAGGCGCCCCGTGAGTGGCACGACACACTGAGGACTAAACTTGCGGCTCTTGGGTTTGCTCCTTCTATTGCCGACCTGTCGATGTTTCTACGCACCGACACCTCTTTGCCGCCGTTCTACATCCTCGTGTACGTCGACGACTTGGTCTTTGCTACTGCTGACACTGCTGGACTCGCCCATGTGAAGTCCGAGCTGCAGAAGAGACACAC